TGATCAGGAGGCAAGAAAGGTCAGGAGGGCGTTGCCCTTAGTGTGAAGGGGCTCCTGACACGTGTGGAGCTCCTCTATGGGATGAACAAGTTGAGAGAGCCCTTGTGGGTGAGGGGCAGAGGAGAGACTGGTCATAGTGACTGTGTGGTAGGAGGCCAAGAACCTATCAAAACCCCTTTTGTGGACTTTAATTACTCTGGCATTCACTGGAGAAAACTGTCCAAAACAAGATGCAAAGATTCCTGGAGGTTTCTGGAGGGTCTTGGTACATGATTATTTAGTATACAGCTTGGGACAAAGGTCTTCAGAGCACAGCTGCCAGATGGGCCAAAGGTGGGGATGCTCATTGGCATCTGTTCGTCCCAAAGAAAGAAGAGTTGGACATGGATGTGAAAACCAGTGTCAGCCCTGGCTGTTGTGACCATGAAATAGTGGGGTCTCACCTCCCAAGAGGAAGAACAAGAGGAGAGTGCAGATGCCAGAGCTCAGACAGACAGTCTGTCAGTCCAGACAAAGGGCAGTCCTGCAAAAGTCACCCTTTGTGTTCTAGGTGACATCGCCACTGTTGATTTCCCTCCCGAGACGGGCAGAGGCTGGATCCCCCTCTGAGGAATGACCCCCGTAAGGAAGCCACTGCTGTGGGTGTTGCTCCTCTGGTATTTCCTGGCACATCACTCAGCACCTATTTAGATATATTTAGTGTATTTCTGTGACTTCTCTTTCTGCACAGAAAAATCATAAAAAGACAACAATTTCATAAAGGATGGTCATCAACGCCCTGTCGTAGACAATAAAGCTCACCATGAGCTCTGGATGGAGCCAGGAAAGCAGATGATAAGTACCAGGAAGATCCAGGAAGCTCAAGGCCTCTTCTGAAGGGTAAGTGGCCTTGAGCAGCAGTGATTGCCCCTGTGGAGGTCTGGGAGAGAGAGTTGGGGCACATCAGAGACAATCAAAGGGATGGCTGATGGCTTTAGCAAATCCTTACAACCGTGTCAGAGCCCAGAAAGGGAAGGCAGTTGCTGTCTGCTGGCAGAGGAGACAAGGAGGATGTTTGTCCTGGGAATCGTGTGACGTGGTGGAGTGTTGTGTGTGGTGTTGGTGGTTTTGGTGGTGTTTTGTTTTTTTTTTTGTGGTTGGACTCAATGATCTCAGAGGTCCCTTCATGATGCTTCTGTGATTCTGTGATCTGGCAGGAAGGACAATGCCCTCTTTTCCTCCTTCACCTCCAGACTTGGATGGACCTCAGGAAACATCCATACGCCTGGAGGATGTGCCTCGTGTTCCTGGACTGCCCAACACCTACTGTCTGGAGAAGGGAGAGACCTTGTCAGAATGCAGTGCCAACCACTCACTTGTCTTGTGAAAACTTGCAACTGGCCTGTGCTGACCGAGGAGAGGGGCTGGGACACAAAGCACAGAATTAAAAGGGGAGATATTTATTCATGCGCATGAGATGTCTCAGCTAAATCGGGGTACTTAAAATGTGGTTTTACATAGGACTGTTATACAGTTCAAGCATTCAGGTATCATGTGATGTGACTAATCACTGATTAACGCAGACAGTACTAATTACTAATCGCAGTAAAACTTCACACAGCGCCTTTATTTCTGCAGCGCCATCAGCCATCAGCTTTCTCGCTGCTTGTCTATTGCTCCAGTTGTCCCTGGAGTTGTTCTATTGCGAGTTACTTCTCTGTGATGCTGGACACTGGGAGAGTTTCCAAGATGTCTTAGAGGGCCGAGGATATTGGCATTATCTTGGCTCTCCAGGGGTATCTTTTTTCCTTCCTGGACAGCTCTATGATTCTGAGAAGCAAAGTCCTTCTTTCAAGGGCAGGGCTTTTCTTACACTCCTTGTGATGAGCTGGTGTCTCCTTTAGTTCGCTTCCTCAAGCCCGATAAATCAGCACACGATGTGAGCTACATAGATCTATATCTTAAGAAAGTTACTACGTTGTCATATTCTAAAGAGTGATTGACATAAGAGTGAGGGAGGTAAGTTTTCTTAACCTTGGCCCAGGGGAGGTCTGTGCCCAGGTGGGTTCTGCAGAGAGCCGTTAGTTGGTCAAGGATCACCTCTTCATGATCCACAATGGTCCATCCTGACACACAGGAAGTCATGCCAAGGTGACAGGAGGCTGGCATGGGTGAGAAAGGAGCTCCTGACTGACATCAAGCATGAAGAGGAAGGACAGAGAAGGTGGAAGCTGGCACCTTCCAGCCTCAAGGCTTCTGTGGGTTTATGCTGGAGGGGGCCGTTTGTACCTGCGTGTGTTTGTCTGTGCACAGGGGAACTGGGAGGATGGTGGAATCCCGAGGCCTGCTTCTGGACAGATGGAGGGCCTAAGAGCAGCTCCTGGAGGGATCCCTGCTGTCTGTGTGTCTACACAGGGAACATCTCCCACTCACACGGCCAAGCCTGCAAACAGCACAACCCTCAGTTCCATTTCTCCACAGACTGTGGATTGTCTCAGTCTGGGGACCTCCCGAGGTGCCTTCCAGGATGAGTGATTTGGCATGTCCTTCCACCCGGGCTCTTCCCTTGACGATGCCAGGGGGAGCACTCAGGTTTCCCACGACGACAGAAGTGAGCAGACACAGGTTTGGTTCACCCATCTGCAACATTTTTGTCCCACTCAAGTAAGTAACTCAAGGCTGCTTGGCAGGTTACTCCAAACAGGCATCGTCCTATCCAGAGCTGAACTTTGGGTTTCCTTTTCTCTCTTTCCCCCTCCCAAGTTGTTCTTTCCAATCATGCTCACAGATTCCCCACAAACAGCCCAACGCTGTTCTTATCCCCATGGCCCGGTCTTGGCTTGTTTTGTGCCCTTGTATCATGTTTCCATGAGGGTTCTTGTGCTGATTCCTATGTTGGTGAGTAAAAAGCAGTAACTCCTTTAATTAGACACCGTATCCTGACACTGCTCATGCTGTTATCTTGTGCTGATGGCTCAGTGTAACCACGGTGAGGTGTCTGCTTTCAAACATTAACAATTGACAAATGGAGCTTCAGTCCAGAGGGACCTTGAGAATCTCTGGGCTTAGGCCAACAGAATCACAGAATCACAGAATGGTAAGGTCTGGAAGGGACCTTTGGAGATCATCTAGTCGAACCCCCCTACCAAAGCAGGTTCAGCCAGAACAGGCCGGACAGGAACAGATCCAGGTTTGGAATATCTGCAAAGAAAGAGACTCCACAATTTCTCTGGGCAGCCTGTTCCAGGGCTCTGGCACCCTCAAAGTAAGAATTTTTTCCATCACGTTGAAATGGAACTTCCCGTGTTCCAGCTTGTGTCCATTGCCCCTTCTCTTGTCACTGGCCACCACTGAAAAGAGTCTGGCCCCATCCTTTTGCCACCTGCCCTATAAATACTTATAAGCATTGATGAGATCCCCTCTCAGTCTTCTCTTCTCTGGGCTGAACAGCCCCAGGTCTCTCAGCCTTTCCTCACAACAGAGGTGCTCCAGTCCCTTCTTCGTCTTTGTAGCTCTCTTCTGGACTCTCTCCAGTAGTTCCCTGTCCTTCTTGAACTGGGGAGTCCAGAACTGGACACAGTACTCCAGATGGGGCCTCACCAGGGCAGAGCAGAGGGGCAGGATGACCTCCCTCCAGCTGCTGGCAACACTTTTTTTAGTGCACCCCTGGAGACCATTGGCCTTCTTGACCACAAGGGCACATGGCTGGCTAATGGTCTACTTGTTGTCCACCAGGACTTTATGGTCTCTCTCTTCCGAGCTACTTGCCACCAGGTCAACCAACCCCTAACCTCTACCATTGCATGAATCAGACACCTCTAAGTCTTACAAGGAGAAGTGGCCAGTCCTACATCAGGGGGATGAAAAGCTTGAGGGAGCTTGAGGGAGCTTGAGGGAGGAGTGGCCCTGAGGAGAAGGGCCTGGACACTATGAAGGACACCATACGAGCCAGAGGTTCATGCCCACCATGAACAAGGCCAGCTGCAAAGGGGGATGTATAAGGAGGAGCGTGGCCACTCCAGGCATCTTGAGTTTTCATCCCTCTACGGTGAGCCATGGTGTGGCCTCACCTGGACCTGTGTGTCTCTCTGTGAGAATTCCTGATGTAGAGAGGTGAGGAAGATCTGCACGATGCCCAGAGGAGGTCTGCACGTCTCTTGTACTCAAGGCCCCAAACTGAATCTTTGTCAAGCTTTTCAATTCCAAAACCACACACGGAACAGGCTGAACCAGGAGAACCACCAGGCTTCTGAGACCACTCCTGATTCTCCTTCCAGAGGTTGGGTGTCATTAATGTCACCTGTGTGCAAGCCTTGGGTACCTCCCTCAGTTTCACTCACCATCTTACCTGTCACCAGACACCAATTGGTCACTCCTAAAATCAGCCCTACGCCTCTAAAAGTAAGGGCTTCTTATTCCTGAAACCATGGGGAAAAAGGAACTTCAGGGGTGCAGTTCTCAAGCCTATTCGGAGAAAGTTCCCAGTGTGAAAGCCCGGCACTGGGGAGATCCCGTTCTATTACAGAGATGCTGTGAAAGAGGCCAGCTCTGAGCCACTGTTAAACACACTTTTATAAGGGAATCAGGTGACACAAGGAACGTACATATCTCACGTGCAGTGATACAAATGCAAACATTTTTCTAGAAATATAATAAACATGAATGAGAATAACAACAGGAATCATGATAAATATAAGAGTTTAAAAAAAACCAAACAACTTAAAATAAGAAAAAAAAAAAAAAAAAAAGAATCAGATTCTATGGAAATCATTGGTGAGGAAAGGTAGTAAATTTGTCACTCTTGAAAAACGTCCATACAGTCAGCCTCCTAATGGCCTCCTTGAGCTCCTGGTTCCTCATGCTGTAGAGGAAGGGATTCACTGCTGGCGGAAGAACTGAATACAGAACTGACACCACCAGATCCAGAGATGGAGAGGAGATGGAGGGGGGTTTCAGGTGGGCAAAGAAGCCAGTGCTGAGAAACAGGGACACCACAGCCAGGTGAGGGAGGCACATGGAAAAGGCTTTGTGCTGTCCCTGCCCCGAGGGGATCCTCAGCACAGCCCTGAAGATCTCCACATAGGACACCACAATGAAAAGAAAACAACCAAGTCCTAAACAGACACTGACCACAATAAGCCCAGCTTCCCTTACATAGGAATGTGAGCAGGAGAGCTTGAGGATCTGGGGGATTTCACAGAAGAACTGGTCCAGGACATTGCCCTGGCAGAGTGGAATTGAAAATGTACTGACTGTGTGCAGGAGAGCGTAGAGAAAGACACTGCCCCAGGCAGCTGCTGCCATGTGGACACAAGCTCTGCTGCCCAGGAGGGTCCCGTAGTGCAGGGGTTTGCAGATGGCAACGTAGCGGTCATAGGCCATGATGGTGAGAAGAGAAAACTCTGCTGTTATAAAGAAGAGAAAGAAGAAGAGCTGTGTAGCACATCCCACGTAGGAGATGTCCCTGGTGTCCCAGAGGGAGTTGGCCATGGATTTGGGGAGAGTGGTGGAGGTGCAGCCAATGTCAAGAACAGAGAGGTTGAGGAGGAAGAAGTACATGGGGGTGTGGAGGCGGTGGTCACAGGCGATGGCAGTGAGGATGAGTCCGTTGCCCAGGAGGGCAGCCAGGTAGATGCCCAGGAAGAGCCAGAAGTGCACGAGCTGCAGCTCCCGTGTGTCTGCGAATGCCAGGAGGAGGAACTGGGTGATAAAGCTGCTGTTGGACATGTTTCCCCTAGGCATGAAGACCTGTTCATGGAAGGAAAGTCATTGAGAAGATAGGGCAGACTTCTCTCTAATAAAAGTATTTAATTTTTCCTAGAGACCCACCCAACTGCCTCTTTTCTTGTGGAATGACCTTTGGCATGTCCTCTTTGTATGCTCTGGTGGGTAGTGGCTGATGATCCATCACGGAGCTTTGAGCTCTGCGGGATCCAGCCCTGCTCTACAGCAATACTTAAATCAGAACGCGGGGTGATCTCAGATTAAATCCACTCGGGGCATCAAAGGGCTTTTCAGCTTTGTCACTGCCAATTCACCCGACTGCAGAGCAGAACTAAAGGAACATTTTTGTTGTTGTTGTTTTTTCTTTCCCAGTTTCCCCACCACGCCTGAAGAGTGTTTTTAAGGCAGAAATCCTTGGCATTTCTCCTGTACGCAAGTGAAACCTCATGGTCCTAAGAGGCAAGGGGACTGCCCCTCAGTTCAGAGTGAGGGCAGTTTGTCCATCAGGATTGCTCTCAGCTGCCCTGGGCTGGAACCTCTTTGAGCTGGTGAATGATTGATCACACCCAGAGATTCCCCTGAGAAAAATGGACACCGCTGAGAGCAGAAGAGGCCAGTTTAAAAGTGCAGATCTCTCAACCCCTCACCCCATCTGACTGGACCCAAGCAGCATCTCAGCTCTGCCCTCCCAGCCAGGGACACAGAGGGCTCATTGCAGCTGCCTACATTCAGCCCTACAGAAGGACTTACGTGGCCTTGCCACTGTCATCTCTACTCTGTGGGGCTTCTTGAAAACAGAGGTGCCATGGGAGAGATGTGTCCTTCTGCAGGGCAGTGTGGCACCCAACAGGACCCTCCAAGGAAAGAGACAAATATCTTTAAGAATGGAATCCTGACAGTAGGGTCAGCTTACTCTCAGCCCCTTTGAACTGCAGTCACCAGAGCCCCAAATATTAAGGTCATTTGGATGCCTTTCCTCCATGGATACACCTGCATGACAGGACATGCAGCATCAGTGTCGGAGCTGCATCTGAATCCTCACCCCCCACCACAGCCAAAGGAATGGGAACAACAATGGCAGCAGCAGGGGCAAGAGGGGAACAAGCCAAAGTTCTCCTGCCAAGAGAGTCAGGACAGGGAGACACAGTCAGACACTCCAGCTTGTCTCCTCTTTGGCGGTTGCGCTGATGGGAAGGACACTCAGGACTAAGACACTGGGATATGAAGGGGCTGGGTAAGGGAGACCAGGGAGTCGCTCTAGAGAAGGCACCTGCCCTGCAGGGGATGGCAGGGAGGTGCTGGAATCTCCCCTCCCGTCACCTTCCCTGTACCAGCTCCCTCTCACTCCCTGCCCATGTCCCTGCTGCTTGAACTTTCCCTGCCAGAGGCTCTTTCTTTGTCCCCAGGTCTCCTCCCTTCCAGTGCTCAGAGACTCCATCCCAGCTGCTGAGAGCTCAGCTCTGCCCTGCAGACCCCTTCTGCAGCAGGGAATGGCCCAGGGGCATCTCTGGGTGTGCACAGACTAAGGAGCAGCTCAGACAAGTGATAACCTCATTGCCTTCTCCGGAATGGAGATGTAAATTCCCATCTCCCACTGCCCATCCAGCCCACCAAGAGTTGAAAACTCAAAGCACAGCTGGCTGAGAGCTGACCCTGGCAGGCAGCAGAGTCCCTGCCCCAGCACACAGTTCCCTGGGACACAGGGACTCTGCTCAGAAGGACAGCCCTGGGCACCCCTGGCTGCACCGCCACCTGTGAAGGCCCTGCAGCCAGCCCTGGGAGAAGGCAGCCCACATCCTAGCCCTTTGATGATATGGTGGGGATGCCCTGCTGTCAAGCACATCCTTCTAAACACCAACTGATCCCTGAGAGCCCTCCTGACAGATCACATGAGACATGGGCTATGCCAGCTTTAGGAGACTGCTCCAGGAACCTTCTCTGCATTATTCAGCACGAGAGAGACACATCTTGCCCTGTCCCTCTGCCCCTGCAGCAGGGAAGCCCTGCTCCACAAGTTCTCCTTCTCTTCTGCACTAGAGAAACAGTGAGAGTTGTACTTACAGATCCCATGGGCTGTGGGTTGTGCAGCTTCTGGATCCCTCCAGCAACTGCAGAGTCAATGCCCTGCAGCCAGACACTTACTGAGTCAAAGGCTGTCAAGATTTCTCCCACAGTGTACTCTCAGCTTTCTCCCATTCCTGAATGCTTTGAAGCTCTCCTTTCCTCACATGTTTCCTCTCCCTGCCTGCAGGCAGTGCCCCCAGCCCTGCTGCGCTTGGCAGAGGAGCTGCTCCTGGGCAGAGCTCTCTCTTTGCAGAGCTGCCCACTTCCTATGAGCTCCCTCCATCCCAGGAGCCCGGCCCAGCTCAGCAGCAGAGGAACAGCCCAAGACGTCACTTTCTCTGCTCCCTCTGGGCTCCCTCAGTTGTCTTTGGACCTCCAGGGGAACCTGCTGTGAAAGAGTCTCAAGTCACAATGTGCAGTCTCTCTTCACCTCTGGAGAGACACTTCTTTCCAGCCATGTCTTTTCTCCTGTCAGAGAGAGTTACACATTCAAAAGGTCTTGTTCCTTCTGGTATGAGACAAGAAACCTGGACAGTGACAGATCTGTTTTGCTCCTGGTGAGCAAAAGGAGTCAGCTTTGTCAATTGAGGCATCTCCTCCTTGGTTTGTACTCCTGGGTTGGAAGCGGACTCAGCTCTCACCTATGGCTGCCACAAACCAAAGACGACAATTTCTCTGCCCTCTCTCGGCTCCCTGGAGGTGTTACTGGAACTCCAGGTGAACCTACTGTGAAACAGGCTGAAGGAATCACTGATGTTCCCCCAGCAGCAGGAGAGATGCTCATTACCAGCAGTGTCATTTCTCCTGTCAGGAGAAGATTTGGGCATGAGAACACCAAGAATCGCCTTTCCTTTCGTGAGGCAGCACACCAGGAGGGTGGCCGGCTGGCCAGGGTGTAAACACCACGGACATCACACCAGGGTCTCCACTCGTGTTCCTTCACCCTCAAAGTGTTGTTTCTTCTCTCCTCCGGTGTTCAAGCATCCCCTTGATGATACCACCGTGGATCAGGCCAATGATTTCCACAGTGGGCCTGAATCACAGGATGTCCACACCCAGGACATTTTCAACATCGTCTCTTCCTTCCTGAGATCAGCTTCACCTCCCCTACAGACCCTCAAGGCTGCAGAGACACAACAGACAGCAAAGCTCTCTCCTGCTCCGAGTGCACAGCCCTGCTCTTTTTTTCTTCGGCCTTGGGGCGAGCAGGGTTTGCTCTCTTTGTGGGTGTCTCATGTCTTCATGCACAGTTGAGGTCTTGGGTATATGCAAGCAGGTTTTTCCACTGCAAATGCCCAAATGTGTTGCCACCCAGACATGCCCCAATGCCCTCGGCCTGGGGCACACAGAGGAGGAGCTGGAGTTGTGTGTGCAATTTCTTCCTTCCACGGGGTGTTGGGAGAGCCACATGCCTGGCATGCTGTGATGAGTGGGTACAGGATCACCAGGAGGTCCGAAAGACAAAGAGGGGGTTGCCCTCAGTGTGAAGGAGCTTCTCAGATGCCTGGAGCTCCTCTATGGGTGAACAAGTTGGGAGAGCCCTTGTGGGTGAGAGTCAGAGGAGAGGCTGATGTGGCTGACGTTGTCGTGGGAGATGAAGAATCTATTAAACTCCCTTTGCTGACTGTAATGACCCTGGCATTCAATGGAAGAGGACCACAGCAGTATGCAAACTGCCCTGGAGGTTTCTGGAGGGTCTTGGTCATGGCACAGCTTTTGACAAAGGTCTTTATAGCAGAAGTGCCAGACTGGGCAATAGCGGTGATGTTCAATCTGCACCCATTATGCTCAAAGAAGGAAGAGCTGGACACAAATATGAAAAACAGGGTCAGCCTTGGCTGTGATGATTTAATTTTGTGGGGTCTCACCTCCCAAGGGAAAGATGAAGAGTGCAGATGCCAGACCTCAGAGGAGCAGACTTTGGTCAAGTCTTGCGACTCTGAGTGGGGGAGTCCATGCGAGTAGCAGAGACGGGCAGCAGAGCTCAGTACAGCTGGTGTGCAAGGGCAGAATCATTCAAATACAAGCGTGTGGTCACACCAATACTCAGGACAAGAGGCAGAGGTATCAGGAGAGAAGCTTCAGGAAACAGGAAACTCATGGTGAAGCCCCACAGAAAAATAGAAGTATGCAAGAAGTGGAGGTAAGGATTGAAACAAAAGAAGAATTCAGAAATACGGTTGGTTTTAGAAAAACCAAAGCTTCCATAGAGTTGACACTTGCAAAGGAGTGCAAGAGCACAAGGATGAGCTGTTACTCCTTCAAGAAGAGTTAAAGAATAAACAAAGATAATATGGGGTCAGGGCTGAATTTGCAAAGAGTAGCTGTAGACAGCTGTGAGGGATTGGCCTTTGTCTTCACCAGCAAGGTCTCCCAGTTCCATGTGCCTAAGAGATAGAACACCACGTGAAATCCAGCAGTGGATGGTCAACCCTTAGTAACCCATCGGACAAGAGAGAATGAGTCCAAGGATGTTGTGAGACCTGGCAGATGTCAGAGCAGGGCTGCTCTGATCCATTTGGGAAGGCCACCATGGCTGGAGAAAGCAAAAAGCAAACCTTGCATACATCTTCTAAAAAGACCCAAGGACTGAGCAGGGCAATTACAAGCTGCAGTGACAGAGGCCAGGGGCTGCGTGGCTGGGCAGCAGCTCGGTGGAAATGGCCCTGGGTCTCCTTGAGCTTCATCAGACAAAACATGAGCCATCAGCAAAGGTGGCCAAGAGTGTCGGGGGCTGTTTGAGCAGGAGCACAGCCAGAAGAAGTGATTGTCCTCCTCTGCTCAGCACCTTTTATACCACACCCTGCCCAGTGACAATGACACAAGGGCAAACAGGAACCAGCTCACTGGAGGGCCACTGAGGTGGTGATCCTTCTGTTATCCTTTAAGTCTTTCTGTGGTTTCCCTAAGAATATTGGCACCTACAGCAACAAAACCCA